GGCCACAGCTGCCGGCCTTCCCCCCCCCAAAAAAAAAGCTACTGTGGGGGAAGTATTTCAGCAGGGGAAATGGGAAGCAGTGTCCGGGTGGCGATAGCAGCCCCGGGGAGCTCCGTGACCTCCTGTGAGCTTCCTGGGCAGATTCTGCAGACAAGCGGAGGGAATGCTGCAGTTTCAACTGCCCGGAGGGTTTTAAGGGGAAGAGGTTTAGATAAGAGGGGCTCCCCGGGCCGCAGGAGAGCTCTGTGCAGCCTGCGGAGCTCCAGGGGGGGGCTTCCCCTTTTACAGGAGAAATTTGGTCCGTGCCCGTAAAGGCCGAGAGCTGCAGGACTGCCTCAGCACCTCCGCACTGGCAGGAAAGGGGTCACCGGCAGGAAAGGGCTCACCGCATGCAAGGGTGGGACCGCCCCGCAGGCAGCAAATGGCCGGCCTGCTGCGGAGGCAGCCTTGCGTGCCCCATCCCTGGGCAGGCTGCAGTGCCGGGGCCGGGAGTGCGAACGGCCGCGGCTCTGCCCCAGCGCTGCTCCCTCACGAGTGCTTTGACCAACGCGTCAGCGAGGCTCACGCCAGAAAACACGCGGCTTGTCAATAAGGGTGAAAAATTCATCTTTCCTCCTCTGCTGGAAGAAGTTTGATCTTCCCTGTGTTACTCCCCTGTTCAAGCTCGCCGCCTTGCAAGGCACGAGAGACAAATCAGAGTTTAGCAGCGTTTAGAGGCTGTTGATGGAAAACAAGTCAGAGTCACTCCCACAGCCTGTCGCTTTGCAGCTCGCCAAGCAGCAAGAGCAGTTTAGGAGGCAGCTGCACAACTCCAGGGGTGCAAGCGCTGTGCTCCCCACCACCGGCTTCTCGGCCAGGGTACCTGCCCCAGCCCACGTCCCTGGGGAAGGGGGAGCAGGGAGCCTCAGGCACATGGGCTTTCAGATGGAGAGGAGGGAAGACCTCCAAGGAAAGATGGAGGTGCTCCCCGAATCCTACACTCCTCCCCAGACAGGCAGGAGCAGAAAGCTGGGAGCACCCCTAGTTCATGGTGGAGGGGGGTAAAGCATGTGACTCCAGCCAGCAGGCCCCCAGAAAATTCCCCTCCCCTGCATTAGGCCTGCCATTCATGTAACACTCGAGTTCCTACCAGATCATGACCAAAACCATTTATTACAGGAGTTATTTAAACTCAATTATTGCACAGCTTCCTTAAAAATAAAAACAGGCAGCAACGAGCACACCTCAGCCCCAGCACAGGCTCCTCTACCTGCACAGGACTCTGCTCTTCTCACCCCTGGCTTCAACCAGCCCGGAGCCAAACAAAGCCCAAAGAGCAGAAGAAAGACACCTACCCCCTGCCCAGGGAGCCAAGGCTTCCCCGCTGCCCCCCACTCCAGCATCCCCCCTGCCCCAGCAGCAGAGCACACCCAGCTGGCCCCAGCCCTCGCCTGGCTGCCCCGGGGATTTGTAGCCCTGCGGCTCTGCCTCCTTTGCTCTCCGGCTGCTGGGGGGCGTAAAAGCAGGGCTGGCAGCAGCACCCCATCTCCTTAGTGAGAGCTCTGTGCTTGGCTGCTTTCATGGTCTCCCCTTCCTTAAAATCTTGCTGTGGCCGGTGTAGAAGAAAAGCTCCTTCTCTGCTTGGATCATCCTATCTGCTCATCTCTCCTTATGTGCTAATTGGGTGCTGCAGGCTACAGTAATTCATTAATGAGCCAGGCAGCGGGGGATCTCCCAGCTCTGTCCTTCTGGGGTTTGCCTCTCTCCCCAGCTTCACACGGGCTTTGCCCAGGAACCACTTTTCTCTCCAGCAAGGCTCAGTTGCTGCTTCTGACTCTCTGCCTTCCCACCCCAACCAAGGGAAAAGTTTTCTCTACTGCTGAGCACCCCTGAGCATTAGCAGATTTTGTTATAGAGTATATACGTATTCCAGAAGTCACATTCCCTTTACACCTGAATGAGTTACAGGGGGTTCAGCACATGAAATACAGGTGTGGAGAGGGGAGCTGGGCTATGTGGGACAAGGTGGACACCAGGGAGCATCCCTGCCTGGCTGTGCCTGACTCCCTCACACATGAGGTTCACTGCTGGGTGCACACAACAGCGCTAGAAACTGAGCCTGGCTCTGAAAATTAATTTCCAAAATACTGCATCCATCCCCTTCCCGCTGTCCCTCCTCGCTTGGGCTCTGCCTTGCAGGTCCCCAAAATAAGCAGCCCAGGGCTGGGATCTGCCTGGAGGAGGTGGTAGAGAAGCAGCTCTTGGTGCTTCCAGAAAAATCACTGTTCCCTTTCGGGAAGGGGTGAGTTACAAGAAGGCTTGTGCACCAGGATAGAACATCTCCACTTGCAGCTGACTCCCGCAGCCAGAGCTTGGAAATCATGATTTTGGGGCAGAGCTGGTTGCATAGTATAAATCAGCATCCCTGCCCCTGAAACCAGCCCGGCTACGTGGAGCTACGGCGCCCGAACTCCCGTGGCAAGGGAAAACTCGTCTCTCCAGGCAAAACCACTTGCATGGGACCACGTGCATGGAAGAGCTCAGGTTTTCTGCTCCCAGCCCTGTTTCCATAAGGAGTCAGCCCTTCCAACGCCAAAAGCGCGGAGGTTTCACCCGCCAGGCGTTATTTCTGTCTTCCGGGCAGCTGCCCTGAAACGCCACTAACACTGGAGAAAAGGCAAATTTCTTATGCTCTTAAAATTACCCGAGAAAGCTTGAAAGTCTTCAGCTGTTAAAACTTCGGTGCTCAAAATGGCTCTTGCAGAAGGTGCTGCCAAACACCCCACCTTTGCCCACCTTGAGGGTCCCGCACCCTCTGCCCCCCCGCGCACCCCCATCACGCAGCCGGCGACTATTTCTGCCTTAGCACTGCGGCGAGGGCTTTAATTTAAGAAAGCCATTTAGTTCTTTTTTTAAAGCATGAAAACTACCTCCAGATATGGCATAATGGTATCCAGTTACCTAAAAAAAAAAAATCCAACTGATTCCTCCTCCCGACTCCTTCAGAGAGGTGTGTTATTACCTCCAGTAATAAATGTTGGAGCAGGAGGAGCAATATGCGGTTTTCTTTTTTTTCCCCTGTTCCACGCGAAATCTGTGGCAGAATAAGTTTGTCCACGTGGGCGCGGAGGGGTTCGCTTTCCCTTTCTTTCCCAGCAATGGCTGGAATCCGGCTGGACGCGTGTTTTCATTACAAATTGCAGCGATGCTTGTCTGTGCCGTCGCTGTTTGTTCCCCCTTTGCTCCCTCCTCTGAAGCCCGGCCTTGTGCAGGGTGGGAAGGAGGGATCCCACCTCCTGACCGAACACAGGAGGAATTTTGCTTATATAGGAATATAAGCTTATATAGGAATAACCTATAGGAATAACCACAACTGTCGTACCACAGACATTTACTTCCAGCTGTCTTTGGTTTTGACAGAGCAGGGATGCTCCACGGGGCTTCTCGAATAAAATGAGTATAAAAATACTGAAACAAAGCTTTGCAGCAGTGAACAGCGTTAATGAATCCTCTCCAAATGAAGCCTTGAAATACACTCGACTCGGCCTCACAAATAGATGCCCACTCCCGTGACCTGTTTTTTGGGGGAGTGGGTTGCCACAATGGATGAATTGCCCAGCGCTGGGCAGGAGCAGAGGGAATATGCACAGAGGAGGGCACAGGCACACAGGAGGCAAGAGCGTGCCCAAAGCCCGGCCCCATGGGACGTCCCAGCGGAGAGTGGTGCCGCAGCAGCCGTCAGCGGGGCTGCGGGTTCGTGCTGGAGCAGCGGAGTCCTTGCCCTTAAAGATCTGGGTTCCCACGCTGCCAGAGTCCACCTGGGCACCAGCGAGGGGCCGGACCCGCTTTCGGGGCGACACTCTGCGATAAACCCTTTAGCGCGGTGGCAAACTGCCGGACACATAACTGCCGTACAAATACAGCCAAATACGGCATCAGATTCTATCAGGTTCTCAGTTGCTGTCACTGATAAAGGAGAGATACTTTACACAGTAGAACATGTTTAGTGGGAGCCAGAAAACAAATTATCAGCAAAACAGAGAAGAGCAGGGTCACGGTTACAGCCCGTCTGTGTACTCCCAGGCGGGGGGTCCTTGGGGGTGGCGGGGGGGAGAGAGCAGAAGCAAACCTCCCTGGCGGCTGTGGGCCCAGCGCGGTCAGGGGAGCTGCTTCCCAGCAGCCACGCAGGAGGGACGGGAGCACCTTTGCCATCTCCTTTGCGCCGAGACGCGAATGCACCACACCCTCCACCCAGGTCCCCCTGGCATTTGGATATAACATGCATTTGGATATAACATTTCTCTCTGTCCTGCTTCCCAGGAGCTGCTAGCTCTGCCTGGCATCAGCATGAAAAAAAGTCAGTCTGAGGCGACCAGTGGGTTTGGGAGCTTCAGCCCAGGTGAATAACGCAGCCAAAGGGGCAAGCAGGGCGGGTGCCGGGTGCGGGGAGCCAGGCAGCTCAGCAGCCACCCCCAGCCCACCCTCACCTCCCGCCGCCGGCCTCTTCCACACTCTGCCTGGCCGGTCTCTGGACTGGCCTACCCCAATGCAAGGGGTAGTTTTTTATTCCCAGCATCCTTGCTGTACGGGTGAGGTCTCCAAATGCAGAGGGATGATTTCATCCTCATCCCGCTCCGCACCTCCTGCTCAACCTCATCCTCTTCAAGGTTGCTCCAAGGAAACGTCCAAGCCTACGAGAGCAGCAGCTCCACTGCCAAGCCAGCTCCTGCCCGAGCGGAAAGCCAGCCTGTGTCCTGCTGGCACTGCCGGCAGCAGGAGCAGCCTGCGGGGCTGGGAGCCGGCTCACACCCTCCGCGCTGCGCTGTAGGGCTCTTCTCTGGGCTGTGGGGCTGACGGCATGTTGGCGTAGGTCTCCTGCTGCTCCAGCAGGGAATTCCGCACGCTGGCATATATAGCCTCTTTTTCCTTTTCCAAACGCTGGGAAAGGAGTGGGATAAACAAAAAACATCCTTCGCGGGGTTTATCCAGGGGAACACCATCTGCTGGAACCTCTCTCAGCTGCTTTAAGCACCCAGGAGCAGCCGTGGGGACCGCAGAGCGCACCTACATTATCCAGGGTCATCTGCACCCCAGCTTGGCACGTCCCTTTGCAGCCCCCTCCCTACCCACCCAACCCATCCCGCTGCCCACGCCACCACCCACCCGCCCCGGTTTTCCACCCACCGCTTCGAGCTCGGCACTGCTTTGCATTCTCCTACTGCTTGACCTCTGTGTATTCGGTCATGGTGTTTGCCGAGCGGCGGAAAGCCTCGGCATTGCTGTACAACTGGCTCTCGGCTGTGCCCGCACCGTGGTTAATGTCTGCGTAGATCAAGGCATCCGCTCCCTGACACGCCAAGGAGAGGGATGAGCTCTGAACCTACTGCTGCTCCCCTGCCTGCAGCCCGCAGGGGTGGGAGCATCTCCCGTCCTGCTGCCTTTCCTGATGAGAGCCGAGACAGCTGCAGGAGCGCTGGGGGAAAATTTAACCTGCAGCAAGGGCTGGCTCAACATTCCCCAGGGGAAATCTGGTTAGTGACACCGGCCCCTCCTCAAAAGCTGGCAGAAAACATTAGAAAATGCTTCCCAAGCAGTGACCGAAGATCAGCTGCCCCACAGTCTCCTCAGGTGTGCTTTGCTGCAGGTTCCCAAGGCTGTTTCACCCAGAGAAGCAGCTCCCATGCTTGGAGGGGCGTGGGGAGAAACCTCTCAGCTCAATCCTAAATTCCCTTCCCAGGAATACTCTGCGATAGTCACACAAAATCCCTGGTCTTTCTGTTGGCGAACAGAGCCCGAAAGATCCCTCCCAGCCTAAAGGGCCGTGAACCTGGCTGAAAGCAAACGGATCTGGCAGCTCGTTTGCTCAGCTCAGGATGTAATGTCTCCCCTCCCCAGGCAAGTTTGGAGCACACACCATCCCAAGACCTCATGCCGTTTGCCTTACTGTATGCGATGCGCTGCGAGTTCTGTCCATCTCTACAGCTGCTCTGGAGAGGGCTGGATGAAGCACGGACGTGGTTAGACATGAATGAAACCAGAGGAAAAAAACATTAAAAACTGCGCTGCTGCTGTGAATCTCGTTGTAAAGCAGGAAGGGAACCTGTTGCCCCATCAACCATCTAAACTGGAGCAGTTCTTCAAACCAGACCCCACCTGCCAGCTGGTGACATCCCCTCCCGTCCCTCTCCGTCCTTCACACTGGCCTTAAACTTTGCATCAAGCCTAGTGCAAGCCTGGCCTACGCAACTGAGCGCGTCTGGAGGAGCTGACGGTGCCCAGACAAACTCAAGTGGGTGCCGTGCTGGCCAGCACCCATCCTGAGCGCTGCCATTCCCCACTCCCACGGGGATCAGACCTGTGGGATGGTCCCACCGCTCCCTCGGGGGAAGGAGACCTCCTTGGTGGAGGTCTCAGTGATGGACCCAGGAATTGGATGGATCAGGGAGGGAATGGGGGAGAAAAAAGAATTATAGAGGAAAAAACAAATATAGCAGAAGACAGGCTCTGGTGCAGAAACAGCATGTGTGCGGCAGTGGCAGCTTCGCTTACCCTTCTTGCTCTTCCTGGACAGCATTACCAAAACACCGGCAGCAACTGCAAGCAAAAGAAGAACTACTACGATGACTGGAGTGAGGATGTGCTCAATCACGTTCAAGCTGCAAGAAAAAAGTTCCTGTTCTCACACTTCTCCTCGGAAGCAGACTCAGGAGGAACCAGCATGGAGCAGGCACGCAGGGAGCTGCTGTGGGTGACAGGGTTTGCCTTGGGAGGAAGGGAAGCAGGCGTGGGGGGGGTTAGGCTGCAAGCTGGGCACGGAGCAAAGCAAACCGAAAACTGCAGAAGCAAATGGACACTGGGGTCTGAGAGCTGCTGTGTCTTCACTATTTTAAGGATCAGTTCCTGCACCTAATTTTGCTCTGGTTTAGCTCTACTATTTGCTGACCTTGTTGTAACAGGCAACCAGGCAAGGCCAGCGTGCCAGCTACCCCTTGAGCGTGCTGATGGGAAGCCTCAGCTTTGCCCCCTTCCTGCATCACCTCCAAGAGGCAGGAGAGGAGGGAGGAAGCTCTGCCACTCCGGTCTCGTGCTTTCTCAACTATCTCTGCCAGGCTGCACGTGACTACAAAGCAGAAGAGGACCCAGCCCAGCGCTTGGTTTCCCACAAGCAAATGGTCCCTCTGGGTTTTGGGGAAGGAAACGGGGTCAGTGCTGCCGCGAGAAACCACTTCTCACATGGTGATAACCTGCGCCTTGCTTAAGCTGCAAGATTGACACGGGACAAGCAGGGCTTTGCCGGGGCCAAGCGACCAGGGGCGCTGGGATTATTTTCCATGTGGAGTGGCTGGCTGAGAGGATGAAATGCTGGTCTCTAAAGGCAAAAGCAGGAGGTCTGAATCTGTAAGGGAGGTGTGAAGAGCCCGGGGGGTTGCAGGGCTCCAGCTGCCCCAGAGACCTCATGGAGGGAGGTGGCCGCTGCGAGCAGGAGCTGGTACTCACTGTGGAGGGCTGGAGCCTTTGTGGTGGGAGGGATTTGATCCTGGTTGCACAGCTTCCCCCTGGGGATTTGTCTGTGTGGGGGCTGATACAGAGCTAGTGAGATCGGGGTGCTCAGTGGTCAGGGTGTAGGGCGATGCCGGGGAGGAGGAAGAAGGAGCTGTAACAAAAAGAGGAGAGGCTCTGTCAGTCTCCCTGCCTCTGTGGGGGAGAATGCTGTGGGTTTTGCAGCGAGACAGAAGTGACCCACTTACCGTCACACCAGGAGAAGCTGGGTCCACTCTGCCACGTTCAGAGTGGCGCTCCTTGAGGTGGGGGGGCTGTAATCCCCTGCCCCTGCCCTGGAGGCTTTTCGCGGTCCTGGTCCCGTCCCCCCCCCAGACGTGCACACGCACGTGCACAGGCAGCAGAGTTCACCCTGCAGGAAGGGGGTCTGGGCACCCCGTGCCCAGCCCGGCACCAACACAATAGCCCCACGTAAGTGTCCCACCCCAGGGGCTCATCCCTGGCGAGGGGACGGAGAGGGATGTTCCCTAAGCCCAGGGCCTGGTGCCCACAGGCACTGGCTGCCCCACAGCGGGAAATGGGGCGGCGTAGGGGGGGTGAGGAACTCGCTGGTGTTATAAAATAAAGCAAGGAGAGCAAAGACAGGGCTAGCAGGATCTGATGAGAGGGGGAAATGGAGCACGGAGAGCAGGGTGGTGCACCCCAGCGATGGGGGTGGCTGACCCTGGGGCACCAAGAAGGGGCCGTGGTGAGACCTGGGCACGGGGAATGGGTGAAGATGGCACCTGCTATGGCAGCTGACTGCCAAGCCCTGGTGACACATCCTGGGGCTACCCCACGGGGCCCGGGCACCCACCTCCTCCAGGCTGTCCCTCCCTGCAGTCCCCGCTCCCAGCACTCGGAGGGGGACAAACCAACGCTGGACCCGGGGGACCCACGAGTACTGACCTGGGGACAAGATCACCTTCACAGTGTCACTATCATCACGACTGGTTATGCCTGTTCGCACCCCACAGCGGTAGGTGCCCGCGTCCTCCTTGGTCAGGCCATTCACGGTGACCATGAACACCCGCTGTGTACGGTTGTCCCAGATGGAGAATCGGTCCCACCACACCATGGGCTGCTGCTCCGTGGTGATGATGATGTCATCAGCACAGGTATAAACAATTGCCGCAGCCTGCGGAGACACAGGGAGCCACAGGAGTGCTGCTGCCACACCGACACCTCCTGCCCCATGGGGCCGTTCCAGTGCGGGGCTTGAGCCCCGGGGGTCCCCTCAGCCCTACCTGGCAGCATCATCCAGGCGAGCAGCAGGAGCCTCATGGGCAGGCTGGCCTGGGCTGCGCGGCAGGGCAGGCCTCCTGCCCCTCACGCTCCTTCTTCGTTGTGTCTCTGGGGCTTCGCTTCCTCTTCTGCCCGGGACACCAAATCTGTCGCTGCTGGAGGTTTAGCAAGAGCGTGAGGTTTCTTGTTCCCTCTGGTCCCAGCTAACTTCCTGCCTCCCCTGTCACTGAGGGCACTGCCACGCACTGTCCCCTGAGCCCTGCTGTCCCGCTCCTGCCCCCACTCCTGCCCCCGCCCCAAGGGCTCCCCTTTCTACACGGCCCCCCCACAGCGGGCTACAGTCCTGCCTCTCCCTGCCTCGCTGCCACACTGCCCAGCCTCTCTGGCCAGGCAGGGCACCCAGAGGGGGATCTGCCTTTCGAGGGGTGGCTCAGCCCTGCACAGGGACCCCCTGAGCCCCAAATGTGCCTCCAGGTTGGGCGGCGAGGGTGGCGCAGTGCTCCTGCATGGGCTCCCTGTCCCCCCCGTGGGAAAGGCAGGGGGGGAGCCCCAGCCTCCTGTCCCTGTGCAGCCGGACATGAGCAGCCGTCCCCCCTGCCCTGGCCAGCCGTGTCCCCCCGGGCTGTCCCTAGCACAGCCCCTCTGCGGCTCAGTAGCCCCTGTGCTACTGATCGGGTCTCTCCAGGCTTCCCGCCCTGTCCCCATCCCTTGTCTCCTGGAAGTACCAGTCCCCCGCAGTGCCCTCCCTCCCAGCCATCAGTGACTTGCTGAGCCTGCGCTGGGTTGGGCAAACCCTTTGGAAGAAGCTCTCAGGGGTGAGGGAGGAAGGGTTTGGGGACAGGTGGGGACAGGCAGGACAAATGCAGCCCATGCACAGGGACCAGACTCGTGCTGGGTGTCACGGGGTCTTTCTCCTACAGCCACGGGCTGGTCCCGGCTCGGACCAAAGCCTCACACGTAGACCCGCTGCCGGTACCATCGCAGCTCTGGCCTTAGCGAAGGCGAGGAGACAGCTTTATTGCCAACGGTTGGTTCCAGTTTAGCAGCGCTGAGGGTGTTCCCTGGCGGAGACATAACTGAGCTGTCCCTGTCCCTGACTTGTGCCTGGCCCTGAACCCTGGCCCCCGACGTCGGCTCTCTGCGAGCAAAGGGTCCCTGCCCTGAGCATCACCCGGGTCCGGCTCTGGGCTGTTGCGCGTCCCTGTGCGGCCGCTCCCGGGGCCCTT